TAAGTAGTAGTAGTAGTAGTAGTAGTATAGTAGTAGTAGTAGTAGTAGTAGTAGTATAGTAGTATAGTATAGTAGTAGTAGTAGTATTAGTAGTTAGTAGTAGTAGTAGTTGTAGTAGTAGTTTAGTAGTTGTAGTAGTAGTAGTAGTAGTAGTAGTAGTAGTAGTAGTAGTAGTAGTAGTAGTAGTAGTAGTAGGAGTAGTAGTAGTAGTAGTAGTAGTAGTAGTAGTCGTAGGAGGAGGAGGAGGCGGAGGAGGAGTGAGATCATAAGCAGGATCCCATTAGGATTGTAGAACTTCAGAGGCTCTTTAGAGGAATCTTTTAGTCGCCAGCGCTGGACGCAAGCTACCTTTGCGCTGCTATCTTTTTATAGCCGCTGATCGTAAACATACTGTGGCTCAAGTGCTGAAAAGCCCGCTTTGGTAGCGGAGCTATCAGCTCCGCGGGCCACCCGGTCGGCCGGCCCACCCTCGCGCGCTCTCCAGCGCGCGCCCGCGCACCCGCAGGCAAATATTTTCATATCAGAGATTCACACGAGTGGATCAAGTACGGCGAGCACGCCATCCATATCAACCACGAGTAGATCACGCACGGCGAGCACGCCATCCATATCATCCACGAGTGGATCGCGCACGGCGAGCACGCCATCCATATCGACCATGAGTGAATCACTTACGGCGAGTACGCCGACAGCATCTACCACGAGTGGATCACTTACGGCGAGTACGCCGACATCATCAAGGATCAAGCGAACACGCATGAAGATCTACGGAGTATTACTGTTTCACATCTTTTTCTACGCCAACATGGCGCATCAGCAGCAGCAGTTCATCGGAGGCCCAGGAGGTAATAACCTTCAACTCGAGGAGTTCACGAAGTTCGTACCGCCAGGGTGGCGGCCACATATTCGAGGATATACGTTCAGAAGATATATGCAGAAGCTGAGATTATGGTGGCGAATTACGGATGAGGACAGATATGAGCGCATCGGACCATTGATCATATCGCGCCTTCAAGGCGCACCTTTCACGGCGGCAATGAGCTTCACGATGCATCGCGATGGAATGCAACACCGAGGAGATGAGGCTATCGCGCTACCACCAGTCCCAGCGAATCCAGCTCTAGGTATTGCAGCAGAACAAGCAGGAGTTAAAGTATTTTTAGAACAACAGAGAGCACTAGATGAATTACATGATCAGGACAGAGTTGGAGTTGTTCTTGACACACTCTTTGAGTGTCAGCGAGGACACCATCAGGATTTACCTACATGGATCGCGAATTTCGAGCTGGCCTTCGAGGGCGCAGTTGAGGAAGGAGGCCCAATCATGAATGATACGGGACGCAGTCACTTTATTCTGAAGTTATGTGGATTATCGGAGAAAAGAACGGACGATTTGAAGCTGCACATCGCAGGAGTTCTCACGCAATGCCAGACCCTACGCGGATTGATGATGAGATTGGGCAAGCAGGACCAGGCAGGTCAACATCATGACTGGGCCTGGTACGGCGAATCAGGTGAAGTGGATGACAACACGGAAGGAGATGACTGGTATGACGCCTATGAGGGAAATAAGTATGAGTGGGGTTATGACGCAGACAGCGGATGGACAGCCACTCAAGATGGAGAATGGTATTACCAGGAGTACGAGGACATCTGGGCGAAGTATGACACGGACCGCAACATGACGGAATACCTCGAATTTGATCAAGATGACGACTACACTGAGACCTACTTCGGAGGTAAAGGCAAGGGGCGTGGCAAGTCCCGGAAAGGTAAGAATCGTGGTGGAAGTCAAGGCCGAGGTTTTCGTCGTCGCTTTCCCAAAGATAAAGGCAAATGCAAGAGCAAGAGCAAAGGAAGAAGCAATGATCGTCAAGGCGGCTCCTGTCAACGACAGGAAGGATGCGATATTTGCGGCAGTCGCTGTCATGTTCGAAATGGGTGCCCAGCAAAAGACCGACGCGCCTCAGCAAGCTCTGGCCCCTCATCGAGTCCATCATCTGGAAAGTCGAAAGGAAAAGGCAAGCACTACGCGAACGTAACCGGATCTGCATCACCAATCCCAACGGCATCATCGGCACCCACCATGATGACGACAAGACCCCCAGGATCGTGGATCAATCTTGAATCACCGTCGACATCGACGGCAAGCGCGACTCCTGTAGTACGACAGCCAGAACATTATCGGCTCGATCATGATCAGGGACTGGCACCGGAAATGGCAGAACAAGAAATACCTGAAGGGGATGCAGTGGATTTGCTAGACCGTTGGGACCAAAGTGATTCAGCGAGCAAGAAGGAGTACAAGACACCGATTCTTGGAGATACGACACCATTCCCAGTGGAGAATAGACAGAGGAAGCCGATGCCACAGGCTTCGAGCTCATCAGCAGCACCACTGTCATTGGCACAGACGTTAAATAAGCAGTACTCTTTAGTGGTCATCAGGAATGGATATGTGGAGATGAGTTCAATGATGGCACAGGCCAATCGACAGCGCGAAGAAGAAGACATCTCGCAGAATCGGAGCAATCTTTTCCTGGAAAAGAGCAATGTCAATACTGTCGAGGATGACCCATGCCTGGCTTTACACGCCGTGGAAGGGCGCCCTAGACACGGACTCACACTTGATCCAGGAGCAGCGGAAGGTCTACTTGGTACGGAGACACTCCTGGAATGGAATCGAGACTTGTATCGACCCCGCAACTTGAAATATGAGATCCAGAATTCCAAGGCAACTTTCACTGGCATCAATGGCCAGTCAGACGCATCATGTGGAGAGTTCAAGGGACAGGTATGGGTTGAAGGTATGCAAGATGGATCGGCATTCCAGGCGGATCTCATTGGAGGTCATGGAGCTCGATGCCCTGGACACCTTCCGAACGGCACACTTATGCGGTAGAAAGGCATTCTGTTCGAGAGCATCTTCGACAACGGTGACGGCGTCCTGGCCTTCGTACCGGACGAGCAGGCACCTACAATGGCACGGGCTCTCCTGGCAGATTCTGGACATTACCCTTTGCCCATCGATGTGGATCAGAAACAATCAGAGAAGACGGTGAATCATATGCTAGAGTTGATTGAACGGCGTATTGAGAAGCTCTTCGCGACATTCTCCTACCAGAAGCGCCCTCGAGTTCAATTGCGCGTCGCTGGCTCCCGACAGCCGGAGCCCGAAGCGCAGGATCAGAGTGAGACACGGTCGGTTATGACAGTTGCATACGAGGAACCAGTGCAGGTACACGCATCATACCAGAACTTGGACGCGAAGGAATTCTATGATCGATGGAAAAGCTTCGATTGCCCAACGTACTCAGGAGACAACTGGCCAGACAACTTCGAATACGCAGAACAGCGGACAATGTCACGAGAGTATGAGATCATGGGCGAGAAACTTTTCAAGACAACTAAACTACCCGCGATCAGACCTGAACACGTACGAGCATTTCTACGACATATGCAGGGAATCCACAACAAGACGATCTTGATGCAAGAGATCTTTGCAGGTACGGCAGGAGTTTCATTGGCTGCGCATCGCGGACATCTGATCACATTACCACCCATCGATTACATATACGGTTGGGACTTGCATCGGAAAGACCATCAACGCGTGTTGTTGGAACTCACAGCATTCTTCAAACCAGCATTTTCACTCATGGAGTTCTATTGCAGACCCTGGTCACAGTCGAACAATAACTCGGATCCAGCATGCTTGGAACATCGGCGAGATTACGAACGACCTCTACTAACAGGGGCGGTTCAAGAATACCTTCCCCGCCTGTACAAGCAGAACGGCCAAGTTATCATGGATAATCCCTCGAGATCCTCCATATGGAAGCTGACGGACATACGACTGGCAGGGGGCGTTCTGCAGCGGGAGATGTTCGACAATGTGACAGATCAATGTGCTCATGGAGCCTGGAGTCAGGACCTACAGCTACCCATCAGGAAGCGCGCGTTCTTCCGGAGTACATCGCGCCTTCAAGGAACATCGAGAGCCTGCAAGTGTACGACAGCACACGCGGAACTTCAAGGAACAGATACCAATGGTCGGAAGCGTGCCGCATTTGCTGCGGTGTATCCTGTCGGACTCTGCAGGGCATTGATCAAGGACATGGTCAAAATGCTACACGTCAAGAAGACACCTACGTACTGGAAGTGCAAACGTTGTCAACATGGAGCTGCATCAGGAGTACCACGTACGAAAGTTGATGGATGTCGGTTTCGACCTCTTCCAGATGATCAGGCTGCTGCACCGGCTGCGGGTGGATCAGCGAGTGGAGCATCCATGCAGGTTGCGGCGCCATCCTCAGCGGCAGCATCGGGGGCTCATGTCCATGCTCCTGCTGCACCACAGCCAGCAGCAGCACCACCGGGTCTACCAGCAGCACCATTACCACCAGCAGCAGCTGAACCAGCAGCAGCGGCAGCGGCACCTCAACCCGAAGGAGCAGACGCAGCAGCTCCCTCTACCTCCAGCGCCGCATGCGAATGCACGGCCACGACCTTAACAAGCAGATCAAGCTAGGAATGCCACGAAGATCATCAAGCCTTCTTACGATCTAGGGAAATTAGCCCAGCAGCTGACACAGGCATCCTCGGACGAAGAACGACGTAAACTTCTCGTGGGCATTCATTGCGAGTTCTTTCATCCACCGGATTATGAGGTCGAGCGCGTGATCAGAGCTCTTGGACTACCAGCGCAGATACGCGAGTTGTGCAAAGGCCTGGCCGAGCACTGCGATACTTGCCTACTTCGTCAACGAGCCATGAACAAACCAGCCATCAAAATGACAGTGGCTTTGCATTTCAACGAACGCGTGCAAGTGGATCTATTTTCTTATTTGACAAGGTCTGGCTCATGATGATCGACGAGTGCATCCGCTATCGTATATCCTGTTTGCTGGCATCCAAGCAGGGGCAAGACATTCTACGCGCTATTGTTCAGCACTGGATACGCTATTTCGGACCAATGGAGGCCCTGGTCACGGATCAGGAAGGTGGATTGACATCAGACAACGTGGCGCTAGTAGCAGATAGATACAACATCGTGCTGATCTTTGGTGGAGCTGACGGACACGCCGCCACGGGCTTGGCGGAACGAGCAATCCAGACGGTAAAGCTCACAGCCCTAAAGACCAAGCGAGACGTTACCAAACAAGGATTGACAGAGATCACGGACGAGGACATCGTGGAGGAATCTGCGATGGTGGCGAACCTGTTCATGAACTACGGAGGATCTGTGCCCGCTCAAGGACTCTTCGGATATATGCCTCGAGATGCGTACGATCCAGAAGCGGAGACCCTCGCGGCTAGTAGAAGCGCAATGGGCCTGACGCCGGACCCGACAGAACAACATCTTCAACTTCGTTTGCTGGCAAACTCAAACATACTGCAGGCGATCGTCGAGGAGCGAATCGCGAAGGCGAACAACACCCGGCAGCAGGCCCAGGATAATAATTTGATTGAAACGCTCAAGCCACATGATCAAGTAGACATCTGGAGAACACCCACGAGAAAATATCAGGATGGTTGGATAGGCCCAGCAGAGTTCATCGGCCTGGACAAGGATAAGGCGGCAGCAATCGTGATACATCAGAATCAACCGTGCAAAATACCGACGAGACATATTCGAGCAAGACGCTTGAGTTACTACTCCCTGGGCACCTCCTTGGATGATTTCCAGATCTTTCTACAGGAGAAGCAGACGATGAAGTTGACGCAGTTATTCGAGATCATTGATGGGACACCACCAGGAATCATACGTCGCATTGGTACCTTCAATGGACAGACGACACCACCAGAACTACTTCAGGATCCCTCACCGACTTGGCTATTGGCTATGCAGGTGGGGACCGCAATCTTCAAGATGACGAGCGTAGACGGCATGATCTATGGATGTGGTATCCGACAAGTGAGAGGTATTGAGGAGTTCACACATGGCACGATAGTTGCCTGGATGGATAATCATCGAGAGGATTACTACAGCAACGAGATCAGCACAGCTTGGCCGATCAACATGGTCAAGATAGTGGGCAACGACTGGAATGCATACCATTTCTTCCTACTGGTCTCAAAGCACCAAAGTGCAGAAGAAAATCCAGGCACGTATGTTCATCCCGACCTGAGCGACATCCCATTCATCGACGAGGATCTATATGACATTCCAAGCATCCTTCAGTCACCACCACAAATGATGGACGAGAAGACTGAAGAACATCTACCTGTACCGCAATCACCGCCGCCAGAATCCAGGAGTTCGATGGCACTGACACCTTCACCATCGCCCTTGGTTCAGGGAGAAGAACCCAGAGCGACAGGAACGACAACATCACCAGCATTGGAAAAGCTACGGGGAGTGATTCATACATTTCAGAAAACAAGATCACCAGCAGGAGCAAGGTCGGTTCAACGCGATCTATCCAGAGAACTTCGCGAAACAGTGCCTGATGAAGAACCTCAGCCCATCACTATGGAATCGACACCAGCCGTTCCGGAAGACTTCACATCAGCCAGACATGAGGGTCGATCAAGGACCAGACATGATATAGAAGCGGCGCTGAGCGAAATCATTGGAGACGAGGAGATGGCGAGAGAACTGAGCCAGCTCATCACACCAGAAGATCTGAAAACGATTCAAGACGAACTTCCTGATCAAGCGAGAAGACGATCAACAGCAAGAGCATCTACGGACGCGAGATCAAGATCACATTCACCACATCGGGAGACAACGAGACCATCAAGACCGATAGAGCAAATCGTACCAGCATCTTCAGAAGCAATCAGACGCGATCGACATGACGCACTACTGGGCGACAGCATCATCGACTTGAATCGTGAACGAAAGCATCATCGTCAGGGACCATCTCCTGAGAGACCACATGCTCAAGAGGAGCCGCCAACTTCGTTATCAGACGGGGAAGTAGCAGCTCCCACATTGGATCAAACTCAGGTTGGCAGTGATGGAGTTTCCAGAGCCCTGGAGGACATTCTCGAAGCAGACGAAGCTCAGGAAGAACCCATGCCACTACAAGACGCAGAGGAGCTATGCACTTTGGTACCTCAGCAGGGCAGCAAGCATATCTACAATTCAACCAGAAGCAGAATTGCGTAAGTTATACATGGGCAGCTCTTTCCCAGACAAGACGACGAGTGACAACATTAGCACGCATCACATGGCAGCAGTTACACCATGGACATCGTCAAGCAGTTGTTGTGTTATCAAAGGCATATCCAGAGACGAACCTTCTAGATGTTTTTTACTGGGATTTCTTGGATCATGAAATGATTGGAGTATATGCTTCCCAGAATGAACAACTGATTCAAGAATCGGATTTCGAGAATCTTTGGCCACAGCTGGAGGAAGCGGATTACAATGATATCGAGAACTACGTGAAGCACAAGTGCTTCAAACCGAAGTTGAAGACATCCTGCAGCAACGAGAGTTTCATTGACGCGACATGGTTTCGACGATGGATGTGGAAGGAGAGATGGGTCATTCGCTCACGACTTTGTGGTCGAGGTTTTCTGGGCCACCAGAAGTGGGCAGTTGACAGACGCTCTTCAACGGCAGCAAGAGTACCACAGCGGATGATGGTATCATTATGTCAATGTGAGCCCGACTTCGAGATAGAGAGCTGGGATATTTCATCGGCCTTCCTCCAAGGATTGCAGTTCAGTGAATTATCTGAACGGTCTCGGGAACTTGGGCTCGACGTGCGCGAATAACGAGAGGTCTACATCGCACCGCCTGCCAATGTATGGCGGCACGTACGGAAGCTATCGACGGTCTTTGCAGAGATACCATCGGGCCACGAACATCTTTATGTACTCGAATGTGTGAAACCAGTACCTGGACTCATCGGCGCACCTCTTCTCTGGCAGGCATCACTGGTGTTATACATCAAGGACCACGTGGCGGGCAAGCGAGCATTACTTGCTGAGAACTGTTTTGTATGGCATGCCCCTTCAACGGAGCAGCTACAAGTGGTCGCAACAGCTCATGTCGACGATCTGTTTCCTACAGGACGGAGACCGTGGCTGGACTGGGCGCGTGCATCGCTGGAGAAGAAGTTTGGAACCATTACTTGGAAAGTGATGCCATTTACGCACTTAGGCATCGAATATCATAAATTTGCAGACGGGGCCATCTTCTTGAGTCAGGAAGCTTATCTGGACACCATCGATGCAGCAAGGTGTGGCAAGGAGGGATTGAAGCAGGAGGATTCACCATGCAACGCGGCTGAGCACCATCAATACCGTTCATTATGTTGTCAGTTAATACATCTATTGCAGGCCAGATGGGACATCAGTTGCGGAGTGACTCAAATGCAATCGCGTCAGACGGCACCAACGATAGAGGACTACAAATTATTGAAATCTATTCAGCACAGAGCTAGGAAGCATCGATCTCGGGCAGGTCTGTACTTCAAGAAGCTTTCTGGACCATTCAGACTGGTGAGCATCAATGATGCAGCACACGCTACACAGAGCACCTCGTATGCACATGAAGCTCAAGGGCTGTTTCGTATGGAAGATAGATACATCGAGAAGAATTCACGAGGAGAAGTCAACATATCATGCTATGACCACGTCTTTGGAGCAGCTCACCCACTCATTGGACAGAGCAGGAAATCCAAGAGAGCATCATACTCAACGAGTCACGCAGAGACAGTGGCAGCAGTTTGAGGATCTCAGATGGCACAGTTTACAGCATTACGTTTCACGGAGATACTGATGCGACCTCAACTGGATCGAGGACCAGAAGGAGCATTAAAGATGCCGATGCAATACCAGGACGAGGCCAAGACGATACTCTCAGTAGATATAGTGACAGATTGTTATGACCTGTATCAGCTCGTGACGGGAATGAAAGGTATCCCGGTCGACAAGACGCAGAGATTGAGTATCTTGAGCTTGAGAGGAGATCGATTGGCTGGGAGATTGAGGCGCTTCTATCATTGGCCAACGGAAGTGATGATAATGAACGCATTGACGAAACAATGACTATTCCCACAGATGCAGGACTATCTCATCATGGGAATCATTCGGTATCGAGGTTTGATGAAGAAGAAAAAGGACGGAACACAGACGCCTGTCAGTGTTCGTGAACTACGTATACGGAAGCACTTTACGGAACGTGACCTGGAATGCATTCAGGAGCACGAGGATACTACTACGAAGACGGAGAAGATCATCAACATGTACGGTTATTACGTGCAGGACAGTATTACCATGCAGAATATGTATCACATGGGGGACTATGTGAATGAGGCTTGACGCGATGCCCTTGCTGTATCACAGTCGGGGCATAGTAGAGGATATTCTTTATATGATAAATAATGAATGATATAAGTTTTACTACCACTCTTGCGTTTTGCTACATATCCTGGAAGCACAGAGTCAGAGTGAGATTATAAGCAGGATCCCATTAGGATCGTAGAACTTCAGAGGCTCTTTAGAGGAATCTTTTAGTCGCCACCGCTGGGCGCAAGCTATCTTTGCGCTGCTATCTTTTTTTTATAGCCACTGATCGTAAACATATTGTGGCTCAAGTGCTGAAAAGCCCGCTGGAGCAGGAGGAGGAGGAGGAGGAGGAAAAGGAGGAGGAGGAGGAGGCGGAGGTGGAGGATGGAGGAGGAGGTGGAGGAGGATGAGGAGGAGGAGGAGGGAGGAGGAGGAGGAGGAGGAGGAGGAGGAGGAGAGGAGGAGGAGGAGGAGGAGGAGGAGGAGGAGGAGGAGAGGAGGAGGAGGAGGAGGAAGGAGGAGGAGGAGGAGGGAGGAGGGAGGAGGAGGAGGAGGAGGAGGAGGAGGAGGAGAGGAGGAGGAGGGGGGGAGGAGGGGAGGAGGGGGAGGAGGAGGAGGAGGAGGAGCAGGAGGAGGAGGAGGAGGGGGGAGGGGGGAGAGGAGGAGGAGGAGGAGGAGGAGGCAGGAGGAGGAGGGAGGGAGGGAGGAGGAGGAGAAGGAGGAGGAGGAGGAGGGGGGAGGAGGAGGAGGAGAGGAGGAGGAGGAGGAGGAGGAGGAGGAGGAGGAGGGGGAGGAGGCAAGCTAGGTGCGCTCGCGTCATATCTGACATCCTACCCCTCGCTCCCATCCCTTACCATGGCGCAGATCCCCTCTCTACTCGCACAGTCGGATGTCGAGCAGGGCAATGATCCCGAAAGGGTACGCGATGCATTGTAGAGCACGGCGTGGCATGGCGTAGACGAGCACCGCGAAGCGTAGTATCAACCTAGCATTGCATTGCATGCCGTGGCATGGCACGGGAAATGACGCCAGCGCTGCAGCGGGAGCACGAGTCGAAACGAGCGGAAGCGCGGAAATGAGGCCAGCGCTGCAGCGGGAGCACGATTCGGAAAGAGCGGAAGCACGCCTGAATCGGCTCGGGGGCTTCCCGGGCGCCAGAAGCAGTAATTCAGCATTTTCAAAAGAAAAATGTGTATTGGAATGACCTTTTTTCGGCGCCGCCTCGGATTAACTCGATTTTCCGGCGCCGGCCAGAACCGGCTCGGACCCGGCCTGAGCGCCGGCCCGGGCGCCGGTTCGGGCGTCTGGCCCGGGCGCCGGCTCGGGCGC